GTCAGTATCGAGTAAGCGTAGACGTGGACAGCTGTTGGTGTATGTCTGTAGTTTGCAGGAAATGCTTTTGGTGACGCGCCAAGTCTATGAACCATCACATGGAAGCACTGACTTCACTGAATTAGTATTGAGAATCCGCACCTTGTTCATGCTTTATGCTGAGTTCAGTAGATCTATCTCCACACTGATTTCAGATTAGTGACAGCCTGTCATGCTGTCTTTCCCATCCTGGCCTTGACCTCCTCGTCTGTGCCACCTGTAGTTGAAACAATGCTGCCTTGCTTGGGTAGGTGAAATAGACAACTTCGTTTAGGTTTCTCCCGTTGATGGTGATTGGTGCCTGTTGTTGATTCTGTTGTTGGTTGAGTATCTTCATCACCTGCACCACTGTCTTCTCTAAGTTCACTTGAAGGAAGTCCCGTCCTCGCTGCTCAGCCTCTTCTGTTAACTTGTTGGCTTTCACCTGTAGACCTTTGAGTTTGTGCAACAAGACATTAGACATAAATCATCATCGGCGGCGAAGTTTAAATCTTCTGGGGTCTTTTCATTGGTCCGGCCAGCGTATGCTTGTCTTCACGCTGCTCACAGTTTGTTGCATGATCCAGTGCAGTCCAGTCGACCACAATCAGGAGGATGATCGATGATAGTAAGCTGCAACCTTGTCTTACTCCTATCTTTACTTCAGAGGCATCACTGAGCTTTCCATTTTGGAATCACTCAGCATGTAGCGTCGTCAGATAGCTGTTGAGCGAATAAAGCATAAGGAACCTTAATTCACAGGTATAGTCATTTTCATGCAGTTCATGAAAAATTGATCAAAGTACCGTTGATTATTGATGAATACGCAGATGATCATAATCTTCAGGAAAAGAAGAATATAATTGGATGGGATATTAATAGAAAACTGGATACTAATAAAATAAACATTCTATCTGCAGGTTTTTGGTGAATTTTTAGTTGATTTTAAGTTGGAATTCATCATGAAGCGACACTAGTTTGAGAAACACTTGGAGCCTGGCAGCGTTTGATAGCCGTTTTGTCCTTGCACGGGACCCCTCATCAGTGCCCACCTGTGGCCCCACCAGGGATCGCACTCATGACTTTCAGGTTCCATGGCCAGCACGTTACCACTGAGCCAATGGAAGAGAATTCAGTGGGCCATATTTCCAACTTCAGCCAGTTCACGATATAAAGCAACCAACACCCAATATCATCCTTATGTATTTGTCCTCACGGCCACCAGGCTGACCCCACAGTTCCTAATTTTCCTATAAATGATGTCAGTCCATGATGAGTTCGGACCCATTTTAAACATTTTTTGCACTTACGTTTATATTCAGCTGTTAAGAGATAACAAATTAGGATTGTGAAGGTTAGCATTTCTTTTCTGCGTAGTGTTGTATTAGAGAGAGGTGTCAGAGTGATAATTATTAAGGTTTTTAATTGAATGAATGACCAGTGCTGATTCCGTTTGTATTCTGAAATACAAAAAGAGCAAAACTTTAGTGTCATATTGTGAAGATTCTTAAAAAGCGTCTTTTTCTCAAAATAAACTGCATCATCTTTCGAACTGAATATGGCTTAAGATAGTTATTTAACATATAAGTATGAAATTAGTTTCTGCGATTACTTCCATGAACTACTATGCCCATATAAATTACTTTTAATGAATAATTCTATAATGCTATTTCCCAGATAGTCATTCTAACACACGAAAAAATGTAGTAATTTTATACGTTGAATAAACACGATTCGTTCACGGGTAATTTGCCTACTTCAGAAGACATCTTATTTTGTAACACTGATTTACTTGAATAGAGTACATGAGTGTTAGGTTAGATTCTTGTTTAAGTATTGTCGATTTATTAATAAGATTAAACATTTTTAGATAACCCTTGGCAGAAACTTGATGCTCTTTAAATAATTCAAACATCTTTCAAATACATATGAAAGTTTAGAACATGTCAGAGACAATTGTAACAAAATAGAAAGGTCTAGAACTGTTGTTACAGGTTCCAAATTGTTCAAATTAATCAACAGTACCCAAAGCAGATATTTTCTACCTAGATGACTGCTCTTCTAGTCAGTACTGCATTTACAAAGAAATATTTAACGATGTTATGATTATACTTGACATGAGTTAATTATCAGCTAAAATGTTACCTGAGAGAGTATGAAGATGGGCTTTCATTTCTAAACTTTCAAACAACAGTTATATTTTGATGAGAGCTTAAAAGTAATGGTAAGCAAAAAAATGAAAAACAATCCTTCCACTTTCGGTTTCTATCTCTAGAAAGACCTTTCCTCTAAAGCAGCAAAATTTATTCCAAAATTTTCACATAGCTTTGTCTTAGGTACTTCGGGTAAACTGTAAGGTCCCTAGCTTTGTTTCCTCAGATGAAATATTGCAGACTTTCACTACCATTTTTAGGTGTGTTCGTCTTAAAAGAAAACAACTGAACGATCTGTCACTACGAACCGGCTTCCATTTAAAGACTGATAGTTATATACAGGGTTATTGACTAAAAGTGAGGGGAAATCTTAATCCCAAAATGATTTTCTCTAGTGGCTTTGAGTCTACTAGTAAGGCGTTTAATTCCCTCTTATTTATCAGTAAAGTCTATCTGAGATGTCATTTTTGATTTCAATAAAGTCTGGATGACCAAACTGAGTAGCTAGTGAAGTTACTGAACGACAGATATGGTTCACTGTCTTATTTAGATGCCAAAGCCTTCCTAGATCCTAAAGATTACTATCAAGTAGCGCGACGTGAATCAGGCTTCCTTACTGCCTCAGGGACATTCCTAGATCAAACTAGATTTTAAGTAAGCTAGCATAACGGTTTAAGATAGACTTTTACTTAACACAACCTATAAGAAATGATCTAAATGTGTTCAAATGACAGAAATTACAAATATATTTTAGAAAATTGTGCTGGTTTTAGTGGGCATCTTTTGGGAGAAACTGTCAAAAATACATTAACTTATTGAAATGCAGGCACATATTGAGCCACCATTCGGCAAACAGAAGAATTACTGAGCTATCTTTACCCATCGTAACAATGCTAAGTAAGCCGATTGCCTGTTAAGAATTTAACCGCATTACTGAACTACTCTCACACTTAGGAAAATCAACTTATATTGTAGAGACCGGTAACAGAATGTTGAAATACTTTGGGTCTGGATATACTATGGTCTTTTAAACGTGTATGAAATAACCATAGCTACAAGAGAAGCTTACTTCTAGTAGCATAGCTTTTATAACCAAATATACAACTTATAAATGTCAATTCAGTTATTATTATTATTATTATTATTAGTCCCTTGGGTTCCTAGTGGAACATAGGGCTTCAGTAGCACGTCTCTATTCCACTCTGTTCTCTGAGATCTTTTGAACCTGGTTCCACGACAGCCCACAACCTCTCATTTCCTCCTCGCACGACCTCCTCCATGTCACCCTCGGAAGCCCAACTCATCGCTTCCCATGAAGATTCCACTCGAGTGCCTGGCCTGACGCGTGATGTCCTCAGTCGGCCTTCTCAGTGCATGCCAATCCATCTCCACTTCCTCCTGCATATTTGTTGCGTGATAGGTTCTTGGTTGGTTCGTTGCCAGCCAGAGTGAGTTCTTTGTTGCTTATTCTTTCTGGCAATCCATCTGATCTTCAGTAACGGGGCAGCGTAGGCAGTTGTTGATGAGTGTCTGTAGTTTATTGGAACACCTTTTCGTGACGCACCAAGTCTCTCATCCACCACACAGAAGCACTGACTTGACGTTGGTGTTGAAAATCCGTATCTTGTTCCACATGCTGAGTGCAGAAGATCTCCACACTGGTTTCAGACTAATGAACGCCTGTCTTGCTTTTCCGATTCTGACTTTAACATCCTCGTCTGTGCCTGTGCCACCTGTAGTTGAAACAGTGCTTCCTGGATAGGTGAAGGAGGTAACGTCCTTTAAGTTTCTCCCGTTGATGGTGACTGGAGCTTGTTGTTGTTGTTGATGGTGGTGGTGCGGTATCTTCATCACCTCTGTCTTCTCTATATTCACTTGAAGTCCCGTCTTAGCTGCCTCTTCTATCAACTTGTTAGTTTTTGCCTGTAGATCTTCAAGTTTGTGTGACATCAGGCACAAGTCATCGGTGGCGAAATCCAAGTCTTCTAGGTTCTTTTCCGCAGTCCAGCGTATCCCCCTCTTCTCTCTCCCCACTGTTTGCTGCATGATCCAGTCCATTCGACCACAATCAGAAATATCATGGGGGATAGTGGGCAACCTTGTTTCACTCCTGTCTTCACTTCACTTCAAAAGCATCACTGAGCTTCCCATTGTGAATTACTTGGCATGTGGCATCTTCATATAGTTGTTGAATGAGGCGGATAAAGGTTTGTGGTACTCCGTAGTAGTGAAGCAGTTTCCAAATTACTTCTCGGTCGAGGCTGTCAAAGGCCTTCTCAAAGTCGACGAAGTTGAGGTAGAGAGCTGATTGCCATTCTATGCTCTGTTTTATGATGATGCAAAGCGTTGCAATTTGGTCCGCGCATGATTTGTACTTCCTGAAGCCTGCCTGTTCCGGTTGTAGGTTTGAATCCAGTGCATCCTTAAGCCTCTCTAGGATAATGCGGTAAATATTTTACTTGGGGTGGATAGGAGAGTGATTCTGCGCCAGTTAACTAAATATTTTCCATGAGATTATCAGTGATTTAAGATTAACTTTGAAGTTAACAAAATGAATTTTGTGCTGTGCTTATTATTCGGTATGGCTATGATGTAATAAAAAATTACATTGCCCTGTTGTGGTATGTGGCATGTTAAGATATTTCTTCACTATTCGTTAGTTAAAATAACATTTGATCTGTTATCAATCTTTAAAAGCGAAGTTTGCATGCACTCAACCTTGTGAACTGTCTCAGTTTACTTACATTTATGCGTAAATGATATTTTGATTAACTTTATTCTTCTGTCCCTGAACCATTTGATTGTCATAATTTTTTTGTTCTTTTACAGACATCTGTGAAAAACTGGATGGCTATACCAGTAACATTCCAATCACTGCATGAAACATACGATTCAGGGTTATTAATGCGTTCATGTGAAAGGAAGTTTATTACTCATACACCTTCTACACCTAGTAATAATCATTACTTTAATTCAGTGAAACCATTTATCACATCAGATAATAATATGTCTACGTCCAGTTTATTTCCAGAATGGTCATTAAAAGTGTCAAATAAAGGTGAGATATATGAAAGTGAGAATCCTGTGAATGTACAAGCTTACACTAATAATATATTCTCTGATTCAAATTTAGTAAACTGTGTCTCAGAATGTGATTCAAAATCAGAAAATAAATCACATTCTATTTCATCTTGTTTATCCAAAGGTTTGAGCGAGCTTGTCAATAAGCTTAATAATGAAGATAGTCATCATATTAAGCATGCTGAAACTGAATGCTATAATTCATACAATCCACCTGACAACGAAAACCTACCTTCAACATTGGATATATTTAAATCATTTACGAATTCAGAAGTACATAAAATCAAACCATTTGATCCCACAAAATGGTGTACATCATTAGATAATTCTAATTTAGTTCCTCTATGCAGCTCAAGGTCAACAGTTTACGACCATAGTTCACCAGTTCTTTCGTCAAAACAAACCACTGAGTCACACATTTTGAAAAGCATACATTTGGATTCCCACGAATCAAACGCTTCAGAAATAAACAGACATCATACAGTGCAATCCTCTAACAGTAATGACATTAAAAACAGCTTCATTTGTGAAGAGAACTTTCATTTCCAAACTCCTGTTGAAAAATTTCGTAATTTATCTACAAATAAAAGGTCTTCTCAGAAACACTTGTCTGTAGAATCCCCAGAGAATTGTATTGATCCACTTACTGTGGTTGAAGAACAAATGTCAGGGGAAAAAATGACAAAAAAGCATATCAGTGATAATTATACAAACCAAGGTGACCAAAACAGAATGATTCCATCCTTTAATTATTCCCGATCCTCAATCTTTACTTATGATAATTTTACAACTTCCCTACTAACTAACAGTTGCGTTAATGAGCGTGAATCAAATAAAAGTATCAGCAATAGGCTTTCACATAATGTTACCAACAACCTTCCACTTTTAAACTTATCTTCAACACTAAGCTCTTCTCGTTTAAAACGAAGTGTTGATGACTTCTGTTCAGCAAATACTTTGAATGCTCAACGAATAAGGCCATATACAGTAAGCCATGGAATTCCTAGTCGTGAAATAGATATTCCCAGGTTAGTTGAAGATGAGTGTCAAATCTCGCTAACATCCAGTGAAATGAATTTGGAAAACAATCTTAATCAAAATGAAAATAATATGTTTGACAATTATACTAGAAAAGTATGTTTATTAGATCCTGAATATCAGCGTATAACAGAATCTCCGTCAATAGATTTTTCTTTTAGTAACCACATAAACCATCAAGATCGTTTATTCATAAAGGAAATTGAAGAGAAGATTAAATGCTCTTTACCATGTTGTCTGTCAAATATGGATTTGAACAAAAAAGGTGAATATATTCATCAAGAGTACTCTTGTCGTAATTCAACAAGTAATAATTCTATAGAAGGATTGAACTGTATTGAAACGGCTAACGTAAATCATCCCACTTCATATGTATCTCAAGGAAATGTTGATCTAAATAACTGGGATGAATCTATTGCAAAAAGACCGGCATATTTAGACTGTGAGTCTTCTGTGAATAATTTGGAAGGTACGGATGGTATCGGAGGATATTCAGTTTATTCTCCGGAACGGCTGAACTACAACCATGTGGAGTGTTCCAACTCGATGTCATTCGACTGTTGCACAGATTCTGCTTCCCATCCATATTCAACATGCTCCGGTGATGAATATTCAAGAAAACCTTCAATAAGTACTGTATATAATCAACATGATCAATTTACTGCATCAAAATGTTCTAACGAAAGTATGTTAGATAACTTTGGATTGGATTCTTTAAGTTATTTTTCTTCATCTATATTCCCTTCCACAGGACAATCAGAGAGTAGTGAGAAATTGAAGGTGGATGCTTCATATATAGCTGCTCAACAAGCATTAATAGCAAGATACTTTCACGTTGACAAGCATTTAACAAAATCTTCTACTTTGAATCATTGTGGTGATTTTCCGCATTCAACTCGTCCAAATGATTCCACTGTATTTTTGAATTCAAATGCTGACAGTATTCCTATTTCAAACACTGAGGTTGTACAGGATATTCGAATGCAGATGCCTAATAATGATAACATTAGTAACACTAACAGTGATTCATTTATCAATAGGTTTGAAAATTTACCATGCATAAGAATTGAATCGAACCACATCTTAGATTGCAAAACCTACTCGTCAACGCAAGATACAGATGCTTTTGAGCAAAACCTCAAAGCATCTGCCTTCAATTCACCCTATAAAAAGCTTCATCAGAAGTATGCATACAACCATTCAGACAAAGAGCATAATCACCAATCAGGTATTGAACCAAATACTGTAAATTGTAACAGATCTACCTATTATCTTAATGAACCAGTTATAACAGATGATGCAATGGTCAATAATTGTAATACAGTACTACACAGCCCCGAGTTTTACAGCAATTCATATGGCAGTTTCACTGTAATCGACTCAACAGACGAAAGAAATTCTAGCTACAACATGGCGCACAGAACACACTTAAGTCCATTGTTATCATCATCCCATTCCTCGTCATCTTTTCTGACTGGTAATAATTCTACTCCGGTATTGTCATCTTCGTTGTCGCTGTCGTCTACGTCTACACCACCAATGATGTCAGTCAGCCCAAATAATTCAAGATTACCCAAAGTAACTAATTACAATTTTACTGATATCCACTCAGTACCAGTTAGTGAAAGTGATTGTCATCAGTTATGTTTAGTCTGCGGCGATAATGCAGCATGCCAACATTACGGCGTACGAACATGTGAAGGTTGTAAAGGATTTTTCAAAGTGAGTTTATATATGACAGTAATCTCTTTTAGATTAACAGTTTTACTAATGTCTTTCATGAAGTCTTTATATTTTTCAGCTACCATCTTCAGACTTCTGTGCGTAAACATAGTTATCAGTAAGATTTTTCATATATTGGGAACAGGTGCTGAGTCATTCCTGTTGCATGCATTAGGTGTTGACTCAATAAGCAAAGATCCACTTGTCAATCTCTCCATCCACTCTACTATGTTAGTTTTAAGGATTTTACACACAACCACACAAAAGGATCGGGAAGTGTGAAAATCCTTAATACTAACATAGGAGGATGGAGGGAGAAGGTGATAAATGAATCTTGTTTATCAAATCAACACATATTGCATGCAACAGGAACGACTCAGCATCTGTTCCGGATACCAGTAAAACTAAGGTGACATTCAGTCACTGAAAAAGAATATGATGAAGACGTGAACCAGTGACCCTTCACCGGTTCCATCATCTCTATACATAGAAGTATCTGACTTATTGTTGTTTTAGAATAAGTGGTAAATTTCAGTGGAGTCCCATTCCTAAACAAAGTTGTTATCATAATCCCTCTACTTTGTAGTAGCCAATCCACCACTGATGACAAAAATCACGTTAAGATCAGTCGTTTGCCTTAGTTTTATCTGAATTCTTTCACTCCAAACAATGTGATAAGTCATTATCAGCACTGACTTCTTCAAGACCAACTAAAAGTGGATGTTCAGCTCCTATTTGAATTATTTACTTGAGTGAAAATTAGTCAGATGCCCCTGCGAAAAAATCTTAGGATGATAGCTTAAGCAGCATCAGAGTGGTCGCACTAGAATTTACTATTCGGATTTTGAACTTCAGTAAATTTAGATCAGTTAGTATCTTGCATAACTCAGGTACCTAAAAAGTTGAATAGCACAAATTAAGTTACATGATAGCGTTTACGCTGGTACAGCGTTCATAAAATAGCAGAAGAGACTTTCTTTAAATCTTATTGATACATTACTACCAATTTAGTAGTTAGATAAAACAAAAGAAAATTTATATTAATATGTATTTAAAAAGAATGCGAGAGCATAGTGTAAGATGAGAAATGAAGAGCGTATATATATATATATTATATATATAAAGTGACGCATTTAGAACACAAGTTTAAAGTAAACACCACACCATGTTGGATCATATTTTGAATGGGCTGAAACCAGTTTCTTTTTGGTGAATAATAAGCAGCACACTCTATCATTTGCAGGTATGCTGTTCCTTCGCTCGTTGTTTGATAACTATATCTATGAATGTTTATCGAGAAGTACAGGAATTATTCTTATATCTGCTGAAACAGAAGTATTTACCACACTACTATGTTACTTGCAATATTTGTCCGCCCATGGGTAAACAGTAAAGCTCTGTATTTCAAAGTGTTCAGAGATGGTCATATTTTAAGTAGCTGGTTGGCTAAGTGTAGCATTTAAACGCTGAGTAATGAAGGTTTAACTTACCTAGGGGACACCGATTTTCTCTTGATTGCTAATACTCTTTGTTGATAGATACTGACAAGCATGAAGCTTAAATTCAGATTCTCCTGCCAAATTAATCTTGAAATCGCATACCAAAATGTTAAATAAGTGTTATCCAGTCAATTTTATAGAACCTAGGTTAATTAGTTCAATGGGAAGATCAATGAGGAGTTAAAAAATGATGGCAGAAAAATGGCACAACTTCTTTCTCACATACTTAGTTCATTTCCATATTCCAAGGTGTTCACACTTACCTTGACTGAATTTATGGCACTAGTCAACGGAAACTTTTTCTGTACATTATTTCTAAAACACTAACTGACGTCATAAAGCTCTTAATTTAAGGAATGCAGTTTGCGTGAAAAGGATCAAGTAAAATGAATTCATTTTAATCTGAAAACTGTGTTGCCGTCATTTTGCACAAGTTCAAAAAATGAGCTGAAACAATGTTATTAGAAAGTTCTAAACATTTTAGGGTACTCTACAGTGGTTTCCTATTGAATCATAAACTATGTATGTCAGCTTGAGCTGTCCTTCTTTAACTACGATTTTAATTTTGAGTTGACTAGGCTGTTTTGAACTTTATATTCATGTCTCCAACAAGTAATGCCAAGGCACAGTTTTTAATCTGATTCTGATTAAAGCGTTATTCTACAGCACAGACTATGTCTTCAGTCCAGAGGTACTTTTTAAATTTGTACATAAGTAGATTCCATGAACATATCATCTATTCATATTTGTTAGAAATCCATAAAAACTTCGGGATACATTCCACTCTGACTGTTACCTTTTCAGCACACACATGTAGGGACACCAAGGAAAAAATTCGTATTCCTGAAGTTAAATGTACATAATCCATCTAGTATAACTGAAGTGAATATTTGAATTTTAGATTTCTGTTTTTTAAGTGACAATTATTTGGCATAAATTTGTTCAAAACATGCGGTCTTACAGATATAAAATCTTATTTTAAGCACCACTACTCTGGATTTATCTTACTTCTTGAGATGGTGAGTTATCAATTGGCGAATACTAAACCATCACACCACTACTCATATTTCACACATACTGGAAAAACTCAGCACATATTAACGCTGGATTTATTTTAAACAGGAAAGAGAATTTTTTAACGGATAAACAAAAAGGCAAGCTGAACGAAGCAAACGCATAGCTCATCTGTTCTTCATTGCACGCACAAAAGTGAAGAGAAAACTTTGTGATGGATTGATGTGTAAATTAAAATTCTGTATAAGACTGATACGCCGAAATGTTAACAGAGTTGAAATATGCTATAAGAAGAATAATAGTGATGTAACATTGGCTTTGCAAGCCATCGACTTGTGAATGAAATTAGTCTCATATGGGTACACAGATGACATAAAACGAACGTGTACGAATCGATGATGATACACATAAAACATGATGACTGTCAACAACGCAAATGTTTTTACCATGGCATGCACAGACTGACAACTGTTTCTTTTCAAACAGGTAAGTTCGGTGTGAATCGTTTAGTACCTACGGACACTGTGAAACACCAAAAATTAGAATTCATGATGTGTACTGATTGTAGGTGAAATAAAAATTTAGGCCAGGGAATGATTCGAATCAGCAACGATCGGGTATAAACCCTGCTTCTATCTTAAATTTCATCCCCCTTTCAATCATTACCCAGTATCGTTGTAAGTCTGCCAACCGACGGCTGTCTTAGATAGTCAAAGCGAATATTTGGACTCATTTGTTTGGTGGTGATTTTGAACGACTTCCGGACATCGACTTCACAACTACTATCAATAAGCTGCCAAGCAGTAGTGCTGTTGAAAACATTCCCACTTCTTAATCACCTACTCTTTTGAAATTAGAATAATGCATGTGATAAGTTAGGTGAAATTTTTAAATATATGTGAGCAGAGCTATAAATAGAGTCGGCATTCGGACGTGCATAAGACTTTTGGGCTTAAAACATACATTCAGTAGATGCTAATGGAGTTCTTATAGTTCACTATATATTCAGTAACGTGCTTAAATATCATTTATTTTGCATGCCTTTATCTCAGACCGTCAGTGAATTTGAAAGTTTAAGGAAAAAACTAATACTTCTGTGAACGTCAAGTATTTAGTGGAAGCAGAGTTCCCTAATGGATTCAGTTTTTTCCATCTCGCTTCATTTTCTTTCTCAGCCAAACTATCTTCACTGATTAGTCTCTTTTTACTGACGTTCACGGTTATTACTCTGGTATTATGTATCTAATATTCGGACAGCACATTTAATCTGCACAAACAGCATTCAAATTTTTTTAAAAATAAACCTTTGTGCTTAAAATTTATGTGAGAAACCTTGGAATGCAATCCTGAAATACTGTAGTACAGTTTAAAGTTAGGAACTAAGACGTAAACAGAAAATTATATTGTCTGAGGTCCATGCTGATGTCAATATCCTGAAAACATACTCATACAACAGAGAAAAAAACCCCGGTAGTTCAAAATTTTAGGAATTACTAACTTAACTATCTCATTTCTTACCAAACAGCAGATTCTTAAACATTCTATATATTATTGATGGATCGTGGCTAGCAGTGGAATCCAGGATGCGCATTCCGTCTACTAAGTTAAACAGAGTGAGGAAATTAATTTCTATGGAAAAGGGTAGATCCATTTTATTTCGCAGCTGTTATTTAAAGCAAAAGGGAATTTACAGAAACAAAGTCTGTGCAATAACGTCCAGGGAAACTATGTTTTCTATTCTACCTACAAATAAAGTCAACAGAATAATAACTGTTTATAATGCTAAGTTTCGAAAAGACTAATACTTTTGTTCTGTAGTGTGGTTAAAAGAAGCTAACTATTTCCCTGTGAGATAGCATGACACTAGGGATCCTTCAAATGTCTGATAGGTAAAATACTAACTTAACACTTTAACTCAGTACAAATCAGCAGATTTCGCTTGAAATTATAAGTGGATAAATGATTTACGAAGTAAATTAAACTAATCTTGATTTCAGTCGATAAAAACGTGCATTATCGAAGTAAAAATGGCAGTGATCTACTCACAGTAAAGTCAAGAGACTGAAAAATAAGTTTATAAAATCTCAAAGCTAAAGATTTAATCGACTGTGAATCATTTTTTGAAACTTCTCAGAACTTCAGTATATGAACTTTCGTTTTATATAATTCTCTTATAACTGGTTCAACAAAAGATTTGTTAAAAATTTCAAGTCCTGGAGGGAAGTGAGTAAAAGTGAATGATTCTCTATGAAAATGTATCAGGTTTGGTGATAATGTTATAAAGTTATCTGCTACAGCATATCCTATTGAAGAATCCACGAAAAATGTTAGTATTCTCTCCTGAGGCAACTGTCAAACTGATGTAAGAAGGTTTGATTATCCAGATTTCGCCAAATGAAGCGTGTCGACTATAACAGATGTTCGCTTCTAACAGCGTTTTACTTTTGGTTTTATACTTGTTTTACAAAAAAAGAAAGAAGAGAATCT